TTTTCCGCATATTCGTACGTAAGGGGCGGTTATTCCTACTTCCTGATAGACGGTCGCCGCTTCTGATAGCTGGTGATACGCATGTATCTCTCACTTAATTTGCACTTGGACGAACGCGCCGTCGCACAGAGTAATGTGAATGCCATAACCATTGTCATCATCGAACGTACATGAAAAATAAGCCCTGCGATTATAATTTTTTTGGATTGTGTAGGGCGTGTGCTGGAAGCACTTTTCGGCAAAAAGCCGTCATTCTATCGCATACGAAGTGATTGGGCATATCGCAGGCAACCTCGCTTCAGCAAGCTTTTCTATTTAAGGGCATAGTGGGAAACTTCCAAAATTTGCCCACTTCTTTTACATTGCGCAGAAGTACGTAATGATCCTTCTCGAGAATTCGCCAAAAATTTCTTCGGCAAAGAGATGATAACGGTGGGAGAATGTCGTGGGGCCGCCTGAGTGCGGCTCGAAGTGCACCCCTTGGTCTTACGGACACCTGGTTTTGGGGGATAGGATGGTCAGGGTACGTCAGGGAACAAAGCAGTTGGTAATAATTCCGCAAAATACAAAAGTTACGAGGGTAAGTTGGAGGATGTGCCCTGACCTCGGGGGGGGGACACTGAAGGACAATTTTAACATAATCGCTAACCCCAACCGGACCAGCAGCAAGCGCATGCATGTCGGGGGGGGTGTTCGCTGACCTCGGGCGAGGTCATTGAGGTACGTTTTTTTGTAGTATCGCTAACTCTAAGTAGAACAATAGCGAATGAGTGAGAAAGTTGATAGATTTTGGAGATTCCCCTTACCCAAGATGTGTAAGTGAGCGGTTATTTCCAGGGTTAATTTTAAAAGCCAATTTACTCAATATGCTGACTTAAGCGGCTATTGTACATGGTGGCCTTCCGAGGACCCCTCCGCAGTTCAATATCATCATCCAATCCCTACTGAGCCAAAGACCGGCGTGCTGAAATCAGGAAGATTGTGAAAACATCAGCCTACTTTCAATTTGTGAGTAGGTGGGTACAATACATAAGTACCCTTCCGAGACCCCACGACACACTCTTACTGAGATATATGATATGTAACCCCAATGGGAAAGTGTAGGCGGATAACCCTAATGCGACACCTAGCCGTAATCCTAACAAAGTCACCAGGTGCAATCCTAATCTTAAGCCAAAAATCCTACCCTGACGGTAAAACTCGAAAATTAATCCCACAAACCTAAACGAAGCTCTAAACCCTAAGTCTAAATCTATACCTGACCTCAAACGTAACTTAGCTTGAGCGATCGGACAAGAAACCCAAACCTCTATAGATGAATTCGAGCGCAAACCATAGTTGCGCGCACATTGCGCAACAGTAGCTAGCTTCACTGCTTGAGGTAGTCTAGCTACCGGAGTACGCGTGACTGATTCCGAAGCAGAAGCCAGACGAGTTCACTGTTTTTCATGTCCATTTGACGGCACTCCCTGTCATTTCTACGATAGAGCTCAAAGGCAAAAGGGCAGGTCCGTGAATAGTCCTCCAAGTTAAATAATAACTGTGGAAATTTATTTGGGAAAATAGCACGTGGGGAAGAGCGTTTTTTTTTGAAGGGCATCCAAAGGATTAACTTAAAAATCCAAATGAAGCACTTCCTGAGCCAACTGTACAACATCGAAGTCCTCCGCAGACGCGCGCGTCCAGGGCACTTTGAAAAAATTGGCTTTTCTGAAACAAAAAGCAGCAGTGAAATGATGGGCAGAGTTGAACAAACGGTAAACTTTAAGAAAATATCCGGGACTGGTTCTACCAAACCCTCCCAGCCGCTTAATCCGTCTTCTCTTACCGACCTCCCCCCCCCCTATTCCCGCGGCGCGCTTGTATGAGAAGCCGAATATTATTGAACGCATGCTTAACTTGTACCCCGTGCTCATATAAATGTACCCGGCCGATGAGAATTTATCAAAAGCTGAGGTATGTTCGCTAAATGCTCTTTTAAATATGATATCCTCCGGACGGGCTTGTTTGAATAGAATAACCCTCCTACCCCCTCCTCATGCGAAATTTAGGCTTCACGTCTAGCCCAACCCACATGGCGACGTAAGCCGCTCCCAGTCAGAAGCCTTAAAATACAGGCTTACCTAAGGGTTCATAGTACCTACCCACGTGTTTAACGTGCACTTGATAGAACTGGAAAAATAACCGCTCCAATTGACGACAGGGATGCGCTTCCATCCACTACTATTTACACCGGTAAACCTGACGGCTTCCAGCTCTCTCATTGAAATGAATACGGACTGAAGCGGTTAATGAGCCAACCTTGGACCTCAGAAGGCTAATTGGAGCCAGGTTTTCAACTGATCACGTTCAAATTGCGAGTGAGGAGCAGCAGAAACGGGCTCACGCAACGGCGGCGATTTTTGAGGATATACCACGACGACAAGGCAGTTCAATTGATGCAAATGACAGCGACATGCATGAAAGTTCATTCAGAATGAAGCAAACTGGAGCAGCATCTACCGCACTTTCTTATCCCTTCCTCCCTACCTCACCCGCTAAGCTCCGATGGTAAGATAACGTCAAGCCGATCGGAGGCAAGAGCGGGTGCAGTGGTCGACGAGACTACACGGTGCGTGTACGTGTACCACACACGAACTGATACACCATAGAATGTACCAGGTTTTCATGGGTGGGGCTCGCTTTCAATTGTTCTTAGCGCGTCGTGGTGGATTCAAGCGCGTCCAATTTATAACACTGAGGAATGCGAAGGAGTATGGTGAGAATGGATTCCCCGGTGCCAACCTCGCTCTCGCCTTCCTCTCCCGAGCCCGCTAGCCAACTGATGATGCAATTAGACACAGTGGATGATACGGCATGAAGGCCTACGTCTAGGCGAACTATCACACCCCTTCCATGAACCACACCACCATGTCAACACAGCCCTCTCAGGTGGGACAACAATTACGGACTCACACTGACGCTGTGCAGCCTGATTCGATCGAATTCCAGTCAACAACGCGACCTCTTTTAGAGGTCAGAAGACGTATAAAGGGCACTCCTTGTTGTTGCTGTTGTTGTTGGAAAACACCTCCGCGGTGCAGGATGAAATCTGTCTTCGGTTTCTGTCGCTGAAGAAGAGACTGGGTG